TAGGCATTTATTATATCCACCTCCCTTAGTAACCAACAGTCCCAAACTGTGATTAATTTCAAGAATATCAATAGCCAATATTAATTACTAATGTCACCTTATCTGAAAAGTTGGATGCAGCAATCGTTTTTTTTATCCAATTGAGGTCACACAGAAACTCAATTACTTATTAACAACAAACAAAACAGCCTTTCAGTTCTAAACCTTGATAGAAATAATAAAATGCGATATTGTTATTTCATATCGCCGATCACTGTATTAGCTTTGATTGCACCTTACCTGAATTCTTTGTCTTAGATCAGTTAATGACAGTTTCACACAGGAATACAGTCAGGGGAAAAGGTTAATATTTCAGAGTATTTGAATATTACTTCCCCAAAATGGAAGGTACTTGTTTATTTTCCCTTAGTATTATTACATGCAAAATTTACCAATAGGAAATGGTTTTAGCCCCAGAGAAGTTAAACTCATACGTTACCATCAATATGTGTTATGTGAGAACAACGCACTTGGAATTCCAAGATGGTTGCTAGAGTGAAGGATGGTGTATGCGGAGGTATTAGGTCTTTAATGATCTATGCCCCTCTGATGATACAAATGTCTGCTGATGGCATTCACTGAGCTGACCTGAGAGCTAGAACTATCTTGCCTAAATCGGCTCCTTTTATTTCCCTTTTCCTTATTTAAGGAGAAGTCCAAAAAGTGTTACCCCAGTATTTGTTTATGTATTGTTGGTACCTGTCCAGCAGATGACTCTCTGTCCCAAGGAATACATATTCTGGATCTTTAAGTTTCATTGTATGTTGTAAAACTTCTAGGGGAATCAGTTTACCTATGATTAACCCAAATGCACCTTGATTGATTTATACCTGTTCATTAATTTTAGCTTGTTTGTAATTACTTGATCATTTATACCTAGACATGTATTTCATATGGCCTTATTTCTATACCCATCATAGCTGTAAGGGCTAGTAATGAAATAATGCACATTATTTATCATTTAATCTAGCTCTCCTAGTAGTGGTAGGTAACATACTTATGTTATTTATATACATTTATATAAATATATGTGAGTATTAAATAGGAGTATTTTACAAAAAAATAAAATACTCACTGATGAGATAGCATTTGATTCAGATTAGCAAGACTTGGGAAGAGTCTTTCAAAGTATCCCTGTTTCTCTTAATGACTATTTTCGACTTTGACTTTCTGTTTTGAATGAGACTTTTGGCATTCATGCTTATTTTGGAGTAAGGGAGACCCCTACTGGTAGTTCTCTACCATTGCTACCTGAATTTTGTGTTCTCATTTGTTCTACAGCTTGGAAATAATCACTAGGTAGGTCAATGATAGCTGTGACTCCTATGGGGCCTATGAATAAAACATTTGGAAAGTTTTTGTAATAGTGTTGAATCATTTGGAAAACTTATTACATCAAAGCCTAAATCAGGAATGCTGGACAGCACCCGAAATCAGGACTGTGCCACCTAAAGTGGGAGCCCTGCAGTAAATGACTAGCCTTATAAAAACTGAGTCATTTTTAATAATTTAATTTATTTTTATTTTTTTTAGGAATGTATACTCCTCATATGGTTCAAGACCCCAAGGCTATGTATGCTGCTGAAATTGATTGTTTTTTTTATATTACTAATAATTTTTTTACTTTTATATCGCTAATAAAAAATTATCTATAATCTGATGTATCAGTGTTTTTATTCAATACATTTGTACAAATTACTAGAAAGCCATAGTGTTAACACAGCTTTTATCTAGCAATGACTTACAGGTTTATTCACAAAGGTGAAAATTCAAAGTGAATTTCAAGTTTAAGGTAAAAAAAAAAAGCCAAACTGGAATAATTATCTAAGTCAGCTATGTTTCTATTTTGGCTACTTTGCCCTAAAGTTTTAAATTCACTTTGAATTATCACTTCAGTGAATAAACTAGACCATGTGTCTGGAGTATGGGTAGAAAAAATCCACATTTGCCACGGAAAACAGAAGAAAAAGTGATAAAAGTAAGGTTTGCTATATCAACCATGTTTTCCTGGACACACATAATTTCATCATCCTGATTGGTAATGCATGAAAAGTCTGCCCTATAGTATATACTATTTATAACCTGCAGAAT